AAAATAAATTAGAAGACTTTCCGAATTAGAGCAAAACAGGATGGAGATGTCTTTGTCAGCATTCTTATGGTTGCACAGGTGAACCTCATAACTTGGTAAACAAGTAGCGAACATTATAATAAAATTTGAGGCCTACTATAAGAACCTATCTATCCCTATATGATTTGTGTTATATATCAAATTGATTGGAATAGAGTAGGGGTCCAAAAGAATTACTTCTTACATTTCTCCCCTTTGATCCACAGAAAGACTCCAGTCTTTCCCTGGATCATTACAATCTAAATGTATAGAGGGCAATTCTCCATGGGCTATGCAAAATCGGAAGAGGGAAGTCCCCTTACTTATGTGCAAAGGTGACATTATAGAAGAGAGGAGTGGACACAACTTATACCAATTATGTTCCATTTGATTAAACATTGACTCATAACATACTAAATATACAATAAATGTCTGAGGTGACTCTCTCACTGACCAGAAATCACAAGGGACAGGTACCTCCTAATGAAATATGCCCTACGAGATATGTAAATCAGGGTATCATCAGTTATTTGTTCAAGCACAGCAACACAAGCATTGTCTAACCTACATACAGGTTCTGGACATCTTTTGAGTTTATTAAAACAATTCAAGGAATTTTGACAAACCAGCCACCCCATTATGGTTAGGAGAGGCAACATCCCTACAGACAACACAAATAGATCTAGAGAGCTACAGCACAGAGAGTGGAGAAAATAAGGAATAGGTCTAATTACTTGAACAAAGGAATTATCAGTCATTGCTATCAGTGGTGAAGCAAAGGCCAAAGCAGGAGACTGAAAAGGAGGATTCAAGGTTCAAGTCAGGTTTGGGAACAGGTAGATTAGGAATTATTTGTAGAGGGGATGATGATAATGATGATGATGGTGTTGTGCTTACTCGTCCCTTCTCATACAGTTGTCCAGTCTCTGAAGCATCCTCTGATACAATCCTGTGGTTCTCTGGAGATCTCTCCTCTTAGGAATACTGGAATTAGTAGGACTTCAGAGCAGCTTCTAGTGGATTTGCATCTCCAGTTCAGGTGACTTGGAGAGATCACCTTCTCTGTTAAAAAGCTTTGACAAAATAGATCTTAATACAATTCTAGTTTGCTATGACAATAAACACATCAGGTAGTGAGACCTAGCTCAAAACTTAATAGCACTAATATAGACATCACCAGACCAGAGAATTTACATTTTTAAGTTGACAAATTCAAATAAGAACTGAAAAATTTAAAAAATTCTGAACCTAAATTTTAATTTTTTTAATTTTTTTTTTGGTTAGGCAATGGGGTAAAGTGACTTGCCCAGGGTCACACAGCTAGTAAGTGTTATGTGTCTGAGACTGGATTTGAACTCAGGTCTTTCTGAATCCAGGGCCAGTGCTCTATCCACTGCACTACCTACCTGCCCTTAACCTAAATTTTATATTTGGCATTTTATATTTACCTGATCTCGTTACAACTATTTAATAAAACCAACTGAAAAATTATCACTCTACCTATTTTCTTTTCTAGCTATTTTCTTTCAGCTGCTTATCCCTCCCCTAGGAGGATGAGGTTTTGCTAGGGAATTATTAATATAACACTTTTCTTTTACCATGATGATCCCTGATACAGAAGTGAATTCATTTAAAAGTTGCCAAAATAATTGCAATTATAGGAAATAGTTCTGGAATGGAATGTATAAATACACTGAATAGTCAATTTCAAGACAGTGCAGATAGAATAAGTTATTTATAATAAAATATGTTTGCCTTTCAAGACATAATCAACATTAAAGTGTAATAATAAACCCAAATAGAATTAGCTTTGCCCATTGAAGTAACACAAGATATTCTATTATTCTTTTTTTTAGCCAAAACTGTAAATATTTCTGTTTTAGGCTTAATAATTAATATAATAACTATTTGGTCCTATAAATTGTTCTATCAATACCCAATTATCCTCACATTAATTTTAGGAAGGACTAACATTTTAGGCTAAATAGCTCAAATTTTATGCACATATCTTGTTATATTAGCTCAGATATGAAATAAAGATTTAATATTGTATTTATACTGATAACCTGCCATGATTATAGAAATTTTCCATAGAAAGAAAATAGGAACATTGTATAGAAAGGGAAAAATGCTTCCCTAACTTCATATCAGTTCTAGGCTAGCATCACATAGATAATCAATTTTATTGAGCCAGGCTTAAAAGGTGGAATATTTTCCATTTAAGAGGAAATGTCAGGGGTAGCTAGGTGGTGCAGTGGATAAAGCACCAGCCTTGAAGTCAGGAGGACCTGGGTTCAAATCTGGCGTCAGACACATAACACTTACTAGCTGTGCGACTCTGGGAAAGTCACTTAACCCTATTGCCTAGCTTACATTAAAAAAAAAAAAGAGGAAATGTCATACTCAGTAAATTGAGTTAAGAGAAGCCTATCTCAACCCATGTCAAGTCATTTCTCCAGCCTTTCCCATGTGAACTCCACCTGTAATTCATGGATGTGAATTGGGTTACTGGCCTAGTAGGATTCCTCAATGATCATACCTAGAATCAGACTCAGAATGATATCAATTATAGTCCCATGAGGTCTAACAGCAAGTTCCAATAATCATAGCTTCGTAGCTTAAGGTGGATTCAGGGTTTTTTTTGTTTTCATTTCACTTTTATTTGCATTCTAATGTCATATTTACTCCCGTGCCATAAGCTTTTGTTTCTTCAGTTTCTTCTGGGATATCTTTTTCTTTTGAGCAACCTCCTCTTCTGGTTTAGGAAGAATCTGTTCCTTTTCAGTAAGTATCATCTCAATATGGCAAGGAGAACTCATGTATGGGTTGATCCGACCATGAGCTCTGTAAGTTACGCCGTCACATTTTGGGAGCCTTGTTAACCTGGATATGCTCAATGCCAAGAGAATCCACATCCAAACCCTTTTCAGGTCTGTGTTACTCTCTGCGTTTTTAAGCATATGCAGCAAGAATTCAGCACTCTTTTTGGGCCAACGACCCTCTGTCCAACCCCACTGCTTAGCCTGGGCACACCTGCCAACTCCACCATTATATTGCCTGAAGGGAACACATTGTTTATTCAATGTGACATTTTTCAAATACTTGGTAGCTTTTTGGATATGCATGCCCTTGATAGCTTGGGCTGTTTCACGGGTGTTCTTGAAGTGGACCCGGAGATTTGAACCCCTTGACTTGCATGATTTTGTGGGGTTCTCTGGATCAAGAGAATACCTCACCATTTTAAATGATTACCTAGGATGGGTCAAGGGAAGAGGAAAGGTGGATTCAGTTATGAAGGATCGCATATCCTCAATACATATGAAAAAAGTTCAAAGTATTAATTTTATATTTCTAAAATAAGTCATGTTCGCAGGTTAGCTTTGAAGGAACTTCTTCCTTCTAGATCTGCTTCTCAGGTGCCAAGACTTAACACAAACTCAATATAAAATAGAGCTACAGGAAGAATCATTATACTAAGACTATGTGATTTAACTGAAACTCCAGAGAATTTCAATTGTTGCATCATGAGGGCCTGAATTGGAAAATGCGTCTGTCTTTCTTAATATTATTAGGCAGGTGTTTCAAACAATTTTTTACACATAAAATTCTTAATCCAATTTTGGAAATTGTGTCACATTCCCTACTAATCATATTATCATTAAGAAAGAATGCTATAGGGTGGTCTCTTATAAACTAAATAACCCAACAATTGTGAGGCTTCATGGTCTCTATTAATAATTTGTGGTTCAAATGACAATTCAAAATGATCTCTCACTATGCTAGCATGTATAACTTAATCAAAAATCACAAATGGGATTCATCTTCTTTTATATTTGCCTTTATCAGTGGAATTTGCTATGTGAGGAGAAAGTCAGGGACATAGCAGCATTACTTCTGTTTCATCTCATTTATGCATCACAGGCAGGAAATTGTATGACAGGATGTCATAGCCAGCCTCGGAATTAACCAGGTGGGAAAATGTCTTATTTACCAAGATGGGGATAGGGCATGAGAATTCTACCTTCACTTTTGCAAGGTCATTCTCTTGACTCTCCCAGGAACAGACATCTTCTTGTGGCAGTGGCTCAGACTGCAGGGGCTCATGACATTTCCCTTGAATGATGAATGAGCAGCCTTATGCAAGATCAGACATTTATGCCTGGATTCAAGACTTAGAAAAGTGGCAAACTAAAGTCCCAAGAGACTCTTCCTCAAACAGCAAAATTTCACTAATTATAGCTTAGGGCTAAATAATTGTTATTTTTCTCATATATTTCATTTAGAATGTTTTAACTATTCACAAATTTCATCTATTCACAAATATCATTTTCTACTTTGGCCTGCAGATAAAGCCAAAGGGAAAACATCAGAACATTTCCAGAATACAATGAGATGAGATTCCCCCAGCAGAGTCCATGTGGGCAAGTGGATCATGCCTGGTCACAATTTCCTTGGTGAAAACTATGGTATCAGGAGCTATGGCTTTAGAGCTAGGGAATAGTTCAATCTCAGTCAAAGACTGACTTGTGCACAATAATATTGTTTTCTGTAAGTGCTCAAAGAAGGGTGCATGTTAGTTGCCCACCAGTGGATATGATTTGAAAGACAAGCTGATTAAAAGCTACACAAGATGGACAAGTGGCTATCGTGCAAGTTACCACCAAGGTGGTGTCTGGAGAAAGCTACTCTGGCTTAATCAAATCTGTTATCCCTTGTGTGCCACAATGAGTCCTTCCACCATTATGAACTAAAAAAGTATACTTGAGGAGGACTGCCTTATCCCTATGACGTATCCCAGTCACCCAGACCTAAGAGGCGGTTAAGCCTTGTATTGCTGTTTCCACTTTTTCACCACAAGGTCATATATAGTGAATAGTTGGTTCAAAATAATAGTATTAAAACATACAATCACATGAGTTTCCATATGATCCCAAATGATACCCACTTGTTATTAAAAAGTTTCATTTCTACACTTTGGGTAGGAGAGGCCCTAGTTCCTTAAACGTCAGTGCTGCAATTTTACAATAGCCTGGCAGGAGGGCTCATCCTAAGAAACCTCACAGACAAGATCTTCTGAGATTTTACCATGTTTTCCTCCCAACAGTAAGTAATTTACTATTATTATATTATTATTACTACTACTTTCTAGTTTTAAATATACATGTATATACGCTCTAATAATCATATAACAGACATTGATAACGTAACAGTATTCAGATTGAAAAGAAGAAACTTGCTTTAACAGTTTCTCTTAGCCTTGTATTTAAAACATCACTAAACAGGTGATTATAATTTTGTTAAATACCTTTCAAGCTTATCAATTTATAGACAGTCATTTATCTTATTACCCCTGGCATTTTCATACTAATCATAATAGTCTGTATAGTGTCTACCACATGCCAGGCTTTTTCTGTGTCTTGAAAATGTTGAGTCTCTAATTTCTCAATTTTGTTAACATTCCATGCCAATTAGGAAAAGTCCCTATAAATGGGATAGCATTTTGTTTAATTGTATTCCTACAAGGTCTGAACACTACAGTGTTCATCTTTTACACTGTGTTAAGCACTTCACAGCTATGTGTTTCTCCCAACAACCTTGGGAGATAGGTTAAATATTTATTATCCCTTTTGTACATACAAGGACTGATTAGATTATCTAATTTACTACCATTACAATATTTTCAACCCAATAAATTTTAATTTATAATGACTAGTGGCAATAACTAAATTCCATTTTGCCACAAGGTTCCATTATTTTTGGTTGGCTTATATTTAAAAAAAAAGTCATAGTGACACTCCCAACTTCCCATTACTTCTTTGTTTCTTTGAGTTACCCAAAGAGCCAAACCAATTCCTTTAAATTTTCTAAATTACTAATCCTTTAGTATAGCTATTTAAACCAGAACAAAGAGACAATCTTATCTCTATCAGTCAATTAATTAGCATGCATTTTATGAAACATATTTTATAGTCTTTGGTTGATTGGAGAAGGAAAACATGAAACAACCATCAAAGGGGCATTGCTTTAAAAATATTCCTAAATCTTTTTTTATTTCAGTAGGGTTAAGACCCTCTCTGAAATCTCCTTTTCAATATTCCAAAACCCTTTACTGTAAAACACTGAATTTACACTGTGTCAGTACAGACTGCAACTTTCTCTACCCTCAATTCATTCTGAACATTACTCTTTCTTCTACTTGTTTAATTCCTCTAGTAAATCCCTTTTTGGTTCTTTAGTGGTTACAATTGTGCAGTTCATACCAACTTCTTTAAGGGCTTTTGGTCAATTAGAATTTGTTACATTTCATAGGTTTTATAAGTGATAGGCAAATAGACCCCCAAAACAACTTACTTAACACAAGTTCCTCATTGTAGGGTGTCACAGATTTCAGTAAGCAGGACAGCTTTGGAGAAGAAATCATCTGTCTCCTTCTCTTTTATCTCTTTTATGCTAGAAAGGCATTCATCCAGCTATTTTTGGCAATGCACAAGGGAATTAGCCAAAGCCCAACTATGGCACAGGAATGTAACAAGAATTGCACTACTGGAAAACTATCTGATAGAGAATGTACTTTTTGGAAGAGCTCAGGGTATATTTTTTTTCTCTATTTACTTTCAAATCTTCAAAATTAAGTCCATTTATTTTGTTTTTTAAATAATTTGTAACTTCTGCTTTTCCCTCTCAAAAATTCAGTATTTTATACCTTTATAAGCCATACGCTCATTTTAATTTAATCTTTTCTAATCTGAGCACCCTCTATAAGGTGCATGTACTTAATATACACACATATGTGTGTGTGTATTCTTATTTAATTCTATCTTCAATGATTCTTTCCCTAACTTACTGAAGCCTCATTTATACAATTTGAAGTTATTTTCACAAGCCAATTAATCTCAACATAAGTTTTACTGTATTTTAATTCATAAAAACAATTGACCTAAATTGCAGTAGTATCATTAAACTTCACTTACCTTCAGTTGCTTTCTGATTTTAAAACAAATTTTCTTTTAGCACTTTGGGATTCACCTTCAATCAGGAGTCAAAATCAGGACTTTCTTGGTGATCTCAGGTTGATTGTTTAAAAGCAGTAAACAACAGAAGGGTAAATGAACTCCAGTTCTACACACTTTTTTTCTTTTCTGAAGATGGTCTAAGATTTCCTTGTTCTGCCTTCTAATGATGAAGATTCCTTCCTGCATAAGCCTATCCCAACTTTAAGCACAGTTTTTAAGTATACCTTTATTCTCTACACTAAAATTAAAATCTATTTCATAGGTTGCTACCCCAAAACTTCAGACTTAGAGATTGGCTAACTGAAACTTCTTCAGGCTTAGCAAATGTGTTTCCTTTTTAAATTCTGACTTGTGGAATTATTTAAGCTCACAGGAATTTTAATCTAATTTATCCTGTACTATTTCCTATGTTTTTCTTATTTTAATACTTTCCTAAATTCCTATTTCACCGAATCTCTCCTGAACATATCTCATGACTAGTAAGTAAAATGCAGACTTTAGATCTAAATCAATTAAAAGGTCCCTTTTAGGGAATAACTGATCTTGTTATTGTTTTCATTAAATTCTATGCAGTGTGTTAGTATGCCATAAGCTCATCAAAATGCTTTATAAAGACATCCAAATTATAATTTTAGAAAATAGAGAAACTTAATTATTTCTTTCTCACAAAATTTGGTTTTCAATCTCTTTTTTTGAATCTTAGTTTTCAATTAATTTCTGTGTCTGTCTTCATCTCAGAAGTCTCAAACATCGCCAGTGTTGGACACAGAGAAAAACAGAGATTTTTCCTCTTTTAAACCTTTTTGGAAGTTTATTTTTATAGCTTCTTTCTTTTGCTTGATAAAGCCAAAAGAAAAGACATAGATAAAACACCTGTTAGCTATAAGTTAGCACAAAGCATGAATAGCATAACTCAAACAGATACTTATTTCCCATTCTCTTAAAGATTTTCCTGCTTGTATAAAGTCCCTTTCTATCTGAAGTAAGGAACCTACTATTCCTAAACTTAGTTTCATCATTTACAAAATATACATACACAGAACATATAACAAGAGACATTAAATCAAGCCTGAACTTCTAAGTTTTTCTCTAAGAGATTTTGAAGTCAAGATCTTAGCTATCTCCTCTATTAAGCGTAGAACTTAGGACCATATTGTGGCTGGGGTGTTGCTGTCAGCCTATGATAATTCTTCTGTTTCCTAATTATGTCAATGCTTTTAGAATCTTATCAAACATGTAATTTAATAACAATATGAAATTGCTTTAGTCTAATTTACCAGTTATGTTCACCCATTTAAAGAGCATTTTGTATTTAGAACAAGTCCCTGATAGATAGAAGAGCTGATTAGAGTTCCATTCCTCTAGACTTTTTGCCAAAGTGTAATCACAGGAAGAAAAATTGAGAATGATGAAGAATCTAACAATATCAGTAGTTCATTTGTCCTAAGATGGTTTGGGGAAATTGTTCAATAAAATTCTATAACTTTCTAAGTAATCAAAAGTTCCATGCTTTGACCAAAACAATCCCCTAATCCTTTTGTATTCTCAGACCAAACTTTACCCAGCTTAATAGCTTTCTTTAGTCATCCCCAACCAGAGAGTCCATCCTTGTCCCAATAAGAATCCTGTAGGATACATTTCTCCTTTTATGCCTGCCTCCCATCTCACCTGAGGGTATCCCCAGCCAGAAGTGGCATTCCTCAGAGGAATTTCTGAGAGAATTGGACTAGATTCCCAAGGTGCCTATCTTTGGGCTTATTTCCTCTAAAAAGTTCCCCAGTAAAGACTTTAGAGATGGCCCCCCTTTGATTATGGATTGTGGGAGGCAATCTTCTATCCATCTGAGTTCCACCTCTATGGAAGTCCTTTTCCTATAGCTAACACTATAGTATTCAGGGATTCATTTTGGTAAATTCTCCAAAACTTCCAATTCTTCATTTCTAGGTTTAACCTCTAGAGTTCTAAAACCAGTCAACTAGGTCCAAAAGGTCCTTTATAAGTGAACATTCAACAAATTTTATACCTACTTTCCTTTAAAACTTCCTAAAAATTTAGTTCTGATTGTCAGTCACTGACTTAATACTAAGCCACTATGTGACAATAATCTTAGTAAATGAAAGAGAGCCTTCTCCTTTCCTCATCTCTGTAAAACTAAAATGAGCCTTCTTCTTAGGTCAGAAGAGGTTGGAATTGTTTCCAGGATAGCCACACACCTTGACAGCTTCCTCTTGAGGTAGGGAATCTCTCCCCTGAGGCTGTCAGGTCTAGCCTGAATTCTTGCTCCCTCAAGGTGGTGTCAGAGCACTCAGTGAGGAATCACTCCCCCAAGCCCTATCCAGGTACTGGTCATAGGGTCCTCTAGATGGGTTCCATGCCTGTTGTGAGCCACCAACAGTTCCCCCTCAACCAATTTAAAAGATTTCCCTACTCCTTGATAAAATAATTTAAAGGCAAAAAAATCCCCCTATTTCAAACCTGCCAACAGAAAATCTTAAAATTAGCTAGGTGGCTAACTGGCTGAAAATGAGGAACAAGAAATTGTACTGCTGAATCTCCCTGGTCTTAACAAAATGAAAGTAAAGAAAATAGAGAGGGAAAAACAGTAGCCTGTATATAAAAAGTTAAAATTATGGCCATATAATTCTTATAAAAATAGAATATGAGGGCTCTAGAGCTTATAAATTTAGACAGATTAGTCACAAATTTAAACAGTCCCTCTTAGCCCAACTGGGGACCCTTTACTAAAAACAAAATGAGTTTAGAATAAACCAAGGTAGACTCATCAATCTTGAAGAGACTAACCTCCAGCTCAGAGAATTTGGGTGACAGGAGTCCAATCTCCAAGGCCAGTGTCCATGAGGGAGCCATCAGTGATATTTCAACCTGATGTACACTTCCTTTTGGGGTCCCTTACCGGGGCCAGCCTAAAGAAGTTAAAGTCCACATACCGCAGTCCCATCTTGGGGTGTCATTAATGTGGGGATAAAAATTGTCCAACCTGCAATAAGAGATTGAGGCAGAGCTCTGAGCTAATGGCACTTAAAGAGTTCACTCTAATAAAGTGGACCTCAGATCTTCCTCATGATCTGA